TAGGGCTAGGATTACAGATACCAGGGCTAGAATTACAGGTACCAGGGTTAGCATTACAGGTACTAAGACTAGAATTACAGGTACCAGGGCTAGAATTACAGGTACCAGGACTAGAATTACAGGTACCAGGGTTAGCATTACAGGTACCAGGGCTAGCATTACAGGTACCAGGACTAGAATTACAGGTACCAGGGCTAGAATTACAGGTACCAGGGCTAGCACTATGGGTACTGGGGCGTACTCACCTGGGGGAAAGGTCCAGGTTTGGCTAGCACTTCCTCTAGGCGGTTCCTCGAGGATGTCTTGGAGGGCGTTTCATCCTTGTCTGGGGGAGGCTTGCCAGGCCCCTCGCGCATACCCTGCTGTAGGAGAGAGAGAGAGAGAGATAACGTTAATAAATGGGCAATAATGAAACAGTGATAATAATAATAATAATAAGCGATAAGTGATATTTGTATCCCGTAGGAGAGAGAGAGAGAGAGAGAGAGAGAGAGAGATAACGTTAATAAATGGGCAATAATGAAACAGTGATAATAATAATAATAATAAGCGATAAGTGATATTTGTATCCCGTAGGAGAGAGAGAGAGAGAGAGAGAGAGAGAGAGATAACGTTAATAAATGGGGAAGAGAAAGTCCTAATAAATAAGAGAAACATGAACAAGAATTCTCGATAAATGAGAATTGTAGAAAGGTCAAGTATAAGAGAAAGTTAATACGCTAGAGAGAGAATGTGTGTGTGTGTGTGTGTGTGTGTGTGTGTGTGTGCATACAGTCCATCATTAGTGGAACTGAGTAATGTTTACCCAAAAGGAGGATTTTTTTTTTACTTGTTTCAAATAAAGTATGAAATTAAGCCAAAACTATAGTAGTAATAATAATAATAATAATAATACATTAATAATAATAATAAAATACAGTAATAATAATAATAATAATAATACAGTAATAATAATAATAAAAAACAGTAATAATAATAATAATAATACATTAATAATAATTATAATAATAAGACGAATAAGAATAAATAAATAAAACAATAAAACACATAAGGTACAGTAATGAACAACTCACAGCGGCCACACACCTGTCACTTAGCCCCATCAAAACACAAAACCTGAATGAAGTCTTCGTTTCTATCCGTGAAAAATCTGTTATGGACAACTTTCACGAACAGTGTTTATGTTTTGCTGTTACTGAAGACAATAGCAACATGTCGTCGATTTGTTGTTTGTCCCTAGACGGATGTAAACAAAGAAGCAAAGCTCATACAATAGCCATGATGACATTTCATTCCGTAAAATGACTTTCATGTTGCAACAAGTGGCCACAAAAGAACATGTGCCGTTGTCTGTGTCAGTTATCCACCGTTGTATCTCCTCCAGATGACCCACATAATATGTTAACGTACATAAAAGAGCTTCGTTAGTGCTCGGCAAAAACATTTCCCGCCAAAAAACAAAACATTATCACCGAAAATACTTTGTGTTGAGATTATTTCCGCTGAAAACTTTCCCATCAAAAAAAAGAGGCCTCGAGCTCTTGACATTTTCCGGTAAAAGCGTTTACTCCTAAAAACATCATCACGAAAAACATTCCTCGAGAGAAACATACCAACTAAAGCTGTTTCCCGCCAGCAAGGACTTCTACCGTCAAAAAACTTCGCGCCCAAAACTTTCCCGAATCTCACCCAGCTGGCGCCATTGTTCTCATACCAGTTTAATCGCGCTAGATTTGCCCTCCATCAACCCCATAACCGCCAAGACAAAGAGTATCCTCGAAATGTGGCCTAAAATCATTTGTTTCCGTCGGGTGGTGGCGGCTGGCAGAGTTAACTGGCTCCTGTAAGCTGCCACACCCCGAGACCTGCTCAAGAAGGCGTCAACACCCACCAGCACACCCACGTCTTCCTACACTATCAACACACCATACTGTACCTGGGTCCACATTCTTACACATTCTTACGATCTTTTAGTTTACACCATACTGTACCTACGTCCACATTCTCACACAATCTTACGATCTTTTAGTTATCTTTTATCTAACTGAGGAGAATATCACGCATTCTATTACGGTAGAGTCATTCTGGCATCTTTTACCTGAGCTAACCAATAAGTCAGATTCTCAATGATTCGTAAGTCAGGTGATAAGAGAATATATCCTGGTGATTCATTTTAACTATGATTCTAACACGGATTAAATATAACAGTGTAAATATGTGATTATACTCAATTTTATGTATATTTTGTGTATAATTGGCCAATCTCATAGGATATACGCTAAGTATACCTCCTTCTCCTTGGATATATCCCTCAGCATATCTCAAGTCTCTTGATATACCGTAAAAATATCCGTCTCCCAAGATATATATACCGTAAAAGTATACCCTCAGTCTCCACACTCTTACGATATACCTTCAGCATACCTCACCTTTAGTCTCCCAGGATATACCAAAACATACCTCCCAGGATAACATATTCTCACTGGACCAAGACTGACCTACACTCGGACAGATGGACCTTTTACAGCAGGATACAGATCTTAATATAACAACAGCACACTTGGGTGGTGAAAGGGCACAGGGGGCTAAGCTTAACCTGGTGGAGATGAGAGAGAGAGAGAGAGAGAGAGAGAGAGAGAGAGAGAGAGATAAATAAAGATAAATAAAGACAGAGAGAGATAGAGTCCAGGCTATATTGGTCAGCCACGCGCCATAATTCACGCCCGTCCCAACCTTCCCCTGACATAAGCTCACCCGGAATTAAATAATGATCGCTTCCCCAACCCGTATATAACCCCTGATGTTTACTTTGAGCTAGTGAAAGATTGTGTACTTGTGATTGTGTTTTTGTTTGGACTTGCTTTTTTTTATTGATTTCTATTTGATTGTTTTTGTTTTGTTTCTGATTTGATTGATTTATTTATTTTTTATTTGACGTTTGTTAATAAATAATGTTTTGTGTTATATAAATTTAGTGAGATTTTTTGTCTCTCTTTCTCTAGCTCTCTCTCTTCTCTTAAGTGTTAATACTTTTCACACACGTACACAAACTACATACATACATACGTACATACATACAAACTACATACATACATACATATACATACACACATACATACATACATACATCGTTATTGGTTTATCGACTTCTTTTCTGTTTATCTGCAGTGGCCTGCAGTGGCCTTGGAGGGAGTGTTGGGAGAGGGGGGGAGACTGTCTGGGGAGGGAGAGGAAAGGAGGAAAGAGAAAATGAGGAGAGGGGAGGAAAGAGGAAATGTGAGAAGGAAAAAGAAAGAAAGGAGAGAATATGGGGAGGGAAGGAGGGAGAGAGGGAAGAAAGAGGAAGTATGGGAAGGAAACAAGAAAGGAAGGAAGGAAGGAGAAAATATAGGAGGGAAGGAAAGAAGGGAGAGAGAGAGAGGGAAAGAGGGAGGGGGGGGGATCCAGAGGTTGGCTTAGGGTATCTGAGAAAGAAGAAGAAGAAGAAGAAGAAGAAGAAGAAGAAGAAGAAGAAGAAGAAGAATAACAACAATAACAATATAATAAACAACAACAATACCACAGCTAACAACCACCACCACCACACAGGCATGTTAACAACTATCACAGCTAACAACCATTCCTCAGCCACCACCACTACTAACACCATCCCTACACCTAGAACCACCACCAACACCGCAACAACCACCCTCCCACACTCACCACCACAACTACCACCCTGCCACACACACACACACACACCACCACGACTACTACCACCATTCCTGAGCTACCACCACTACGACCACCCTCCTACCACCACCGGAGGGCGTCAAACTACTCCACAATGTAGAACGCTTTCACCCAAATCACCTCAAGAGTCCTTCAGGCCGGCCAAGACTCTGTACTGTCTGTCTGTCTGTCTGTCTTTATATCTACCTATCAATCTGTCTGTCTGTCTGTCTGTCTGTCTATCTATCTGTCTTTATATATAATTATCTATCTGTCTGTCTGTCTGTTTGTCAAGGAAACTTAAAACCTCAAAAAAGGAAGGAAATGACAAGGAAGAGAAGAGAGAGTAGAGAGAGAGAGAGTAGAGGACAAGTGTAGAAAGTGACAGGAAACTAATAAGTAATTTAGAGAAAAATTTCACACATGTTTTTTTACTAGCACTGTAGTACGCTGTATTATCATGTATTATGTATCTACCTCACTGTATTATCATGTATTATGTATCTACCACACTGTTGTTGTTTTACTTTAAATTTTCTCATTGAGAGGAAGAAGAGAAGAAGAAGAAGAGGAGGAGGAGGAGAAGAAGACGAAGGCGAAGTGGATTATATTTCTCGTCTATTAAGTAAATTAAAAACAAATGCCTTTACGTTTCAGTGGACCAACTTCCGTACACACACACGCACACACACACAAACACACACTACTTCCGGGTACAGTACAAAATCTTCACGCTTGCAAATTTTAATCTCACTCCTATGCTAATGTAAAACTATATACAGGTCTCATAACAACCCCGACGACCATTAAGGGGAACGTAATTAGCCCCGGGTACAGTTAGTCCTGATGGGTGGCGGGGGGGGGGGACGCATGACCAGATAACAATCCGACTCACTGACCCCCGAACGCTACTGAATAACTTACGATAAATCCGGATTCTAAACGGTTCGTAAGCTAGAGATCTTGTATCTAAGCTATTAATTTGAGTGTACTTAAATTGCCCAGAGATTCGTAAATTAAATCGGGTTACTATTCGGGAGGGAGGGGGATTAGGTTAAGTTAGGTTAGAATAGGTTAGATTAGGTTAGGTTATATTAGGATAGGTTAAGTTAGCGTAAGGTTATGTTAGGCTAGGTCAGTTTAGATTAGGTTAGGTTAGGTTAAGTTTGGCTTGGATAGGTTAGGTTATATTAGGATAGGTTAGGTTAGCGTTAGGTTATGTTAGGCTAGGTCAGTTTAGATTAAGTTAGGTTAGGTTAAGTTTGACTTGGATAGGTTAGGTTAGATTAGATTAGCATTATTAGTGATTAATCTTCAGGTAAAATAAGATGGGGGTTAGAATTCTTCAGGTGTTCATAAATATTAAACTAAGACTATAACTCGCAACTTCTACCCAAGTAAAATTACCATCTACCACATGACGAAATCTGATACGTCACAAACTATAAAATAAAAGAATAAAAAAAAAACCCACATTAAACGCCCTTTTCCCCGGTACTGCTCTGTGATAACCGGTATCTGTACATTCACAACAACGATAAACAACCGTAATGAGGAAAAGGTCAGCCGGTGTCACTTTACTAATAGGTTTTCCAATCCGTTAAGCCCGCCTCCCCCCCCCTCCCCCCCCCCATGTACACCCCCAGAGGAT